TCACCTTTACTGGCTCCATCCCCGCCTCTTCGACCTGTTTGTTTCCTTTCAAAATGAAAATTTGTATTTGGTTTAAATTGTTTGGTAAATCTCATTGCTTTTGAAAACATTTAAAGGACTTAAGGGTTTGTATCCATTTATACAGACAAAGTGCACTTCTCTTAGATAAGATATACTGGTCCATGTGACTTGATGATCCTTGACCTGAATGTAAACAACAGATGGAAAATTGAGGGAGAAGCCTGTGGCCAGTAGAGAGAGCCAGCAGCAGGAAGATAGAGACAAAGAAGCTACTGTTGTAAAGTGAGAAGCAAAAGACATTCAGCACAGAGATGCAGACAAAAGACTAGTAGAAGTACTGGAGAAGATTTGAGAGTGTTCTGAAAGGAGCCCTGTGTAATTTGTGGCTCATACCAAACAATATTTTGTCTGTCCATTCATGTTTGATATTCATTTGTTAAAATAAAAGTTACAAAATGTCAAAACTTAATTGTACTTTGTTCGAGTTGGTCAGTTGTTTGGATTTCAGTTTCCCAGGGTGATGGTAACAGCATCATCTTGAGGTTGTAATTCACCAAGGCTACTTCAACACTGCCAAACCTGCACCTTCTATGAACTAGACTGATAAGAGCAGAAGACATATGGGACTGCCACCTGCAAATTCCCTTCGAAGTCGTACAACACAAATTTATTGCCGTTCATGAGTGTTATTTACAGAATAGAATTAGATCATTTGGCCCCTTGAGCCTGCTGAGCCTTTCAGTAAGACTATAGTCGATCTGATTGTGTTTTGAATTCCACGTTCCCATTTACCCTGATAACCATTGATTCTCCTGCCTAACAAGAATCTATCTACCTCAGACTTAAAAATATTTAATGACTTTGTCTCGATCACTTTGAGACCGAGGATTCAAAAGTCAGATAACTCTCAGGAAAAAAAAATTCTACAAATCTCTGTCCTGAAAAGATGACCTCTAATTTTAACCAACAAAAGGAAACCTTCTTTCCATGCCCACCTTGTCAGAACCATTCCAGATCTAATCAAATCACCCCTCATTCTTCTAAACTGTAGTGGAAACAAGCCCAGTCTGTACAGTCTGTCTTCATAAGACAACCTGCTAGTTTCAGATATTAATCCAGTAAACTTTCTCTCAGCTTCCAATACATTTACATCCTTCCTTAAATAAGGAGATCAAACTGCACACAATATTTGAGAAGAATTCTCATCAATGCCCTGTATGACTATATCATGACATCCATCCTTTTATGTTAAATTTTTTTTGTCTAATAAAGAACAGCCTCCCATTAGCCTCCTTGATGATGTGCTGTATCTGTATCTGCATCTGCATCTCAAGCACCAGGGCATGTAAATACCTCTATCTCCAGAACTCGACAGTCATTCTTTTTTAAGTAATACTCTGCATTTTAATTATTCTTCCTGCCAAAGTGGACAACTTCACATTTTATTAGATTTTACTCCACCTACTAAATTTTTGTTCCTTTTTGTTTTTGGTCAAAATTCTGACCTGATTCTCTAAAAGCACAGTGGCACTAACAATGTTGTGGAAACTGCAGTGGATCAAGAAGGCAACTCACCATTACCTTGTCCAGCCTTTAAGTGTTGTTGGAGCTGTACTCATCCAGGGAACTGAACAGAATTCCATCAAACCCCTGACCTGTGCCTTGTAGATTTACACTAAGGCATTGGGAGAATAGGTGAATTAATTGCTAGCCTCCAAATTGTTCTTATAGCACTTAGATGATTGGTCTAGTTCAGTATCTGATCAATGGTAACCTCCAGGATGTTGATAGTGGCGGATTCAGTGATGGTAATGTCATTGAATCTCAAGGCGTGTTATTCAGACTGTCTCTTGAAGATGGTCATTGCTTGGCACTTAGATGTTACTTGCCATTTAGCTCAAGCCTGAATGACATTCCGGTCTTGCTACGTATGCACACGGACTGCTTCAACATCTGAGGCATGTCTTGATGTCGTATGAAGTGAATGAAATCGAGTGAAGACTGACATCTGTGATGCCAGGGACTTCAGGACGAGGCTGAGATGGTTCATCCATTTGGTACATCTGGCTGAAGCTGGATGCAAATACTTCAGCCTTATCTTTCCCTCTATGCTGGGCTCCCCATTCTTGAGTCACATTCTTTGGAGCTGATTGCAGCAGTGCAAATTTAATTCCAAAGAAATCTAACTGTTTGAGTCTGTAGTAAGTGGCTATGGTTTTTTCTATTCAATCTGTTTACTATGTTAAAATCTATGGTAAAGTAAATAAAATATATAAGGACAATGTAAATGCATGCACTGGCAATAAGCTTTTGAAAATCCTTGGTTTTTGGAAACGTCCTGGAGGATTGGAAAATACCAGGTTAACGCCCTCCATCAAATTGGAAGGACACAATAAACAATAGGCTAGTTAGCTTAATATCTCTTATTGAGAAAATGTCAACCTGTTATGGAAAGATGTAGTAGCAGAGCATTTAGAAATTTGTAATATGATCAAACAGTTCTGAAGAAGGGTCACTGGACCTGAAGTCTGCTTTCTCTCCTCAGATGCTGCCAGACTTGCTGGGTTTCTTGAGCAGCTTCTGTTTTCCTCTTCCAAGAATGAAATTCATGAACCGTTACCCTTTATTTCCTATTACTCAGCCCATGTAGTATGTGTTGTAGCTGTCCCATTTGTTCCATGAGCTGTTACTTTTCCCACAAGGCTGTTATGTGGCCCTAGCTAATGTTTTTCTGTTTTGAGTTTTGAGATTTGGCATCTGAAGTGCTTACTGTTGTATTTGCAGTTAATAGCTCTGACAGACTAAATTGATAAGATATGGTAATCTGGTAGACTTCCAACAGACTCACTTACCAGACAAGTTTTAATTATTGGCCATGCTTTTCCTTTGAATTTCTTTTTTTCTCTTGTGAAAAATGACTCATTGTAAATTGGTGGCTCTCCTTTGAATCTGGATTGTTTTAAATTATTTAGTCAAATAGGAGAGGAAAATGAGCATAATGTATTTGTGTGTGTATTTGGTTAGGTGATTGGACAGCATTCAGGAGTGGGAATGCTGGTTGGTTTGCATTTTTTCATCTTTCTTATCCTCCTTTCCCCAGTGATATTTAACTGCTGAAGCAGATTGTTATGCCAACCAGTGCACAGCTTGAAATTCTAATGACTCAGTAATGAACATCAATTCAACATGCAAAGCTGTTTAGTCTTGGCATGTTAATGCATGATTTAGTTTAACATTGTTCACTGAGGCATCTGAAGAAAGCTTAGCAACGTACAATCCCCTTCACCGAGGGAGCATTGGTGTTAGTCAGATTTTTCTGCTTCTTGAGGTGGGTGGTTAATCATTAATCATCAAAGGATGTTACTGAAATTAAAACTAAAAGTTCCTTTTAATTCTTTTTCTTTCAGAATGGGAGCTTGTCAGTCTTTCCATAATGAAACCGATAATATTGCGCAGTAGCAAGAAATTGGAGATAACTAATTTTTTCCAAGCTGTGTTAATTCCAATCCCATGAAATGGATATTGTTAAAAGGAACATGATAGATGGCAGATTGTTATGTCCTATTTCTCCAACCTATGCCGAACACTGGAATATGCTGGAGGAGTAAAACGTCAAGATGCTGAGATTTAAAGATACAATAGCTGACACATTTTCTTGTGTAATAGCTTCAATTTAGAATTAGAAATACTTTGCTGTAAATGCAATTGTTGTTTTCTGTTTAGTAGATACGAACAGAATGGGTGAACGGCGCAGCAAAAACCTTTTGGTCCAGCTGGGACCCAAAATGCAGGCTTACCCAGAAGAGCTGATCCGCCAACGCCGTTCGCATGATGGCCTTACAGAGTATCTCATTCGCTGGAACGTGCTGACTGTTGATGATAGTGGAGGAGGAGGCAGCAGCAGTAATGGAGGAAACAGTTCATCTAGCGACAGTAAAGTGGATAATATATTGATGTGGATGTCAGCTGAAGATGTATATGCCAACTGTCCTACACTTCTTGGGAAACGGAAACCAGAGGGTCAAAGAGTAAAAGAAGAACAGGAACCAAGTGCCAGATCTTGCCCAGTGAGTGCAGACTCTGATGTCACATTTGATGATGTAGAGTTACTTGATATGAAGGAGGACGTAAAGCATTTGGTACAACGAGCAAGGCGACAGATGTCTCGTAAACCTGGACCAGACTCATCCTTGAATATTTCTCACACAATTCATGTTCTGAGTGCTTATGCTAGTATTGGCTCACTGGTGGGGGTGTTCAAAGAGACAGGAGCTTTGGATGTGCTTATGGAATTACTCTGTAACAAGGAAACGCAAACACGCCGGAGTGCTGGGAAGATGCTCAGGGCTCTTGCTTCGCATGATGCAGGTAGGATGTTCTTTAGTTTGAAATTTCTTTGTATCTCTAGTAGATGGTGTGATTTAACTCTGGGATTACAGATTTCACATTAGACCATGAACCTGAGACTACTGCAATAAAAGTGATATGCTTAACAATGTGACAAACAGTTGTTTGAACTTACCATCTGCAAGAGTTTCTTAACTTCTATTAGCCAGTCTCTAAAGTGTGTTGGGAATGGTTTTTTAGAGTAGAATATTGAACTAACTAGAGGACAGGCGAGGTAGCATTTATTGCCCATCCCTAATTGAGTTCAGAAGCAACCACATTGCTGTGGGTCTGGAGTCTCACCTAGGCCAGACCAGGTAAAGATGGCAGTTTCCTTCCCTAAAGGACATTAGTGAACCAGATGGGTTTTTCTGACAATTGACAATGGATTCATGGTCATCATTAGACTTTTAATTCCAGATATTTATTGAATTCAAATTCCACCATTTGCCCAGTGGGATTTGAGCCCAGGTCCCCAGAACATAATCTGGGTCTCTGGATTAACAGTCCAGCGACAATGGCCTAGTGGTATTACCTCCCCACTGGTGATTGGACCTGAAACATTTATGCTGTTATCCCTCCACAGATGCTGGCAGACCTGCTGAGTTTCTCCAGCAATTTTTGTTTCTGTTTCAGATCTCCAGCATCTGCAGTTGTTTCATTTCTCCAAAATTTTTGGAGACCTACGTTAATAAGCATGATTAAACATGGGCAATGGACAGTCTTTAAAAAGACTATTAAGTGATTTACAGCAACTATACATTGCTTCAAGATAAACTCAAAAAAGTTAGTCAACTGTGGCTAACAAAGCAAGTCCGGAATTGTATAAAATTAAAAGAAAAGGCCTACAATACAAAGTTGCTATATACAGCAGTAATTATGAGGATTAAGATGTTTGTGGAACAAAGGAAGACCAAGAAACTGATAAGGAACAGGAGAATAGAATATGAATGCAATCTAACAAAAAAGACTTCCAAAGCTTCTGCAAGTAGGTTAAAAAATGGAGGCATGTCCCTAAAAAGAAAGTGACTCCATTAGACAGTCATGAGAATTTATAATGTGGTACAGAGAAATGACAAGTGAAATTACTAGTTGTCTGTTTTTACTGAGGAAGATACCAGAAATCTGCCAGAACTAGAGATCCAAGTGGCTGGGAAGAATGAGTTGAAGGAAATTAGCATTAGTAATTAGCTTGAACTGGAGAAATCAATGGGTCTGAAATTTGATAAATTGCCAGGACTGACGAAATACATCCCAGAGTGTTGAAGGAGGTCACTATAGAGAGAGCCATCAAAGTATTAACTATCTTCCAAAATTCTATAGGTTTGGAATGGACTGGTGGGTAGCAAATGCCCCTTCCACTATTTAAGAAGGGAACATGAGAGAAGACAGCGAACTGCAGACTACCTAGCCGTACAGTAGCAGGGAAAATGCTAGAAGCTGTTATAAAGGATGGGATAAATGGGCACCTGGTTGATAGTGATCTGATGAAGCGCAGTCAGCAGAGATTTGCAAATAGAAAATCATGTTTCACGAACCTGTGGGATTTTTTTGAAGATATTACTAACAAAATTGATGAATGCGTGAGAAAGGTGGTACTGACTAGCTAAAAGACAAATCGGTAGGAATAAATGGTCATTCACGCGTTTGCAGGCTGTGACAAGTTGTGTACTTTAGGGATCAGTATTGAGCTATAGATGTTCTTTATACATTTGGGGACCAGATTTAATCTTTCCACGTTTGCAGATGATGCTGAGTGGGAGTATGTGTTGTGAGGAAGATGGAATTTAATGTGAAATAATGTGAAATTATTCACTTTGGTAGGTGGAACAGATTGCAGAATTTTTCCTACATGGTAAGAGGTTGGAAAGTGTAGATAAAATGATAGAGGAAAATGAGTAGTCCATTTGATCCCCTCAAACCTGCTCTGCCATTCAGTAGGATTGTGGTTGATCTGACATTCCTCGCATCTACTTTACTGCGCTTGCCCTCTAACCCTTGATTCCCCTGCTGATTGAGTATCTGTCTCGACCTTAAATTTACATAGGACTGCCCCCACACCTGTGTGGCAAGGAGTTCCAAAGACACTCAACCCTCAAGAATATTCCTCCTCATCTCATTCTTAAATCGACACCGCTAAATTCTGAGACTCTACCCTCTGGTCCTAGATTCTCCCATGAGGGGAAACATCCTCTCAAATATTTATCCTGTCAAGCCCCTTAAGAAGCCTGTATGTTTCAATGAGATCACCTGTCATTCTTCTAAACTCCAGTGAGTAGAGTCCCAACCTGTTTAACCTTTGCTGTTAAAATAAGCCCTCCATACCAGATATCATCCTAGTGAACTTTATCTGCTTTGCCTTTGATGAAATGATATTTTTCCTTAAATAAGGGACCAAAATTGCTCACAGTATCATAGAATCATACAGTACAGAAGAGGCCTTTCAGCCCATCAAGTTGTACCGTCAAAAAATACTACTCTTTACACTAAGCCCACTTTCCTGCAGTAGGCCCATAGCCTTGAATGTAATGACACTTCAAGCACTCACTGAAGTAGTTTTTAAAGATTGAGGTTTCTCGTCTCAGCTACCCTCCCAGCAGTGCATTCCAGACAACCAATATACTCTGGGTGAAGATCTTTTTTCCTCAACTTACTTTATGCTTTTTGTGCTGCTAAAATTTATCAATTTATACCTGTCCTACAGTGTGTCTGCAGTTTTTTGGGGACCTATACTGTACTGCTATCAGTATCTTTTTCCCTTGCTCATACTTACATCCACTGAAATGGACTCTACACCATCTGAACCTAGACCATCTCCCACAACTGTCCTCATTTCATCTCTTATTAACAGTGCAACCCCACCAACTTTTCCTTTCCTCCTTTCTTCCTGAGAGGTCAAATATCCCTGAATGTTAAGTTCCTAGTTCTGTTCTTCTTGTAACCACGTCTCTGTGGTGGCTACGAGATCATATCCATTTACCTCGATTTGTGCCATTAATTCATCTGCCTAATTCTGATTTTGTGCATTGAGAGCCTTTTTTTGCTACTTTTAGTCATAACTTTTGTATTGTTGTCCTGTTTGCACCTTGCCTTTGATTGCTGTGGCTACCATTTTTGTATCTTACTGTTTTTTTTTAATTACCTTCCTTGTTTCTCCTCTTGTTACCCTGCTTAGGTTCCCATCTCTCTGCCATTTGAGTTTCAACCCTCCTCAACCGCACCAACAAATACTTGCCCTAGGACATCAGTCCTGATCCTGTCCAGGTGTATCGTGTCCAGTTTGAACTGGTCCCAATGTCTCCAATCTGAAACCCTCCACCTTGCGCCATCCTCTCAGCCAATGATTCAACTGATCTATCCTGCTATTCTACACTGACTAGCATATGGCACTGGTAGTAATCCTGAGATCATTACCTTTTGAAGTCCTACTTTACAACTTGCTTTCTAACTCGCTATGTTCCACTTTTGGGACCTCATCTCTTTTCTCATTTTTTTAAGCCTATGTCATTGGTATTGAGGGTATCATGCAACTGGCTGCACACCTTCATCCTCCTTGGTGAGCTGCTCTGAAACATCCTTGAATCTAGTACCAGGGAGGTAACAAACGATCCTGGAGTCTTTTTGGCCAGAAACGCTTATTATTGCCCTTACAATTGAATCCCCTGTAACTATTGCATTCCCACACTTTGTCCTCCTCTCCCATGTAGCAGAGTCAACTTGGTGCAAAAAATTTGGTTGTTTCTGCTTTCCCCTGAGACCATTTACCCATAACACCATCTAAAGTGGCCTATCTGTTTTGTAGGGCAGTAGTCATAGGTTCCAGCACAGCCTGCCTAAGTCCTCATACTCTGCCTGATGGTCACCCATTCCCTTTCTGCCTGGAGAGTCTTTGCCTACAGTGTGACCACCTCTCTGTTCATGTTCTTCACAATATTCTCAACTTCTCAAATGTTCCACACTGCCCCCAGCTGCTGCTCCAGCTTCAAAACTCAGGCTTCCAGAAGCTACAGCTGGAGATACTTCCTGCATGTGTGCTCGCCCTGGGCACTCAATGTGGCTTCCCGTATAGAGCAGGAGGAGCAAACTACTGCTTGAAGCTCTCCAGCCATGATTTACTGTTTTGAAGGGCTCCTAAAATCAAATACTTCAGGGTCCTTCTTCTCTTGACCTCGTTAAAACAGAACATGGCCTTTGCAAACTATGTACCGTAAAATAAGGATTTCACAAACTATAAGCAGCAATAATAGTATAAATACTCGCCTTGTGTACTCAACCACTCGGCAGCTTCCATTTGCCGCTGTCACTTGTCAATCCTGATGTTACCTTAGGAGCTCTGCGTCTGGATTTAATGAAGGTAATGCGGAACTGCTTCTTTTAAAGTTTTCCTGCTGCTTTGCTCAGATGCACCTTACCAAGTTTGCTTACTGTCTGACCTCTGGTGCTCTGCACTGTAAAAGTACCTGAAGATCACTTTTTCTCCATGTGCCCCAAATTCACTAAGACGATACTTTTATACTAAAGAGCAGAAAGATCTCAAATTAGGCAAAAGGAGGAACTGAATACGTCCTCCCTCTTTCACCAAACTCCAGTTGACTGAAATGCAACAAAGCAGCGCTCTCGTGCAGATGTTCAGAGGGACCTAGGTGTCCTTGTCAATACAGCAGTGAAGACTAACATGCAGGTTCAACAACCTGTTAGAAAGGCTAATGGAATGTTAGCGTTTGTTGAAAATGAGCCTTCAAGCCCACACCACCATTCAATAAGATCTTGGCTGAACAAATTTTTGCCTAAAATCCACATTCCTGCCTATGCAGGTAACCTTTCATCTACCTACCTCTAGAATATACCTACCTCTGCTTCAAAAATATTTAAGGACCCCTCTTCCACCACTTTTACAGGAAGAGTTTCAAAGACATTCACCCCTGTGGAAGAAATAAAATTACCAAATCTCTGTTACAGTTGGGTGTCTTAAAAGTATGTCA